TGGGGCAGGGCAGAAACGGAGCAGAACACACAGGTGGTGTTTAGCCACTGTCTTGCAAATGACTTTCTACTCTATCTGCTCATGTCTTTAAATCTGGGATGTGGGATATTATTGCCGCAAAGATTTGCTATCACTTCCCAATAAAAGAAAAATAAAGAAAACTTTATTTGGAAAAAAGAGATGGGGTTCAGAAAACGAACAGTGCTTACTTTTCAATGTCATCTAGGGATTGCTGTGTTTTGAAGCACAGATATCAGAGTACAGAGGTGGGTATGGATGGAGGCAATCAATCAGCCAATCAACCAACCAGCAAATCAATCCTCATTCAGTTTTTCTCTGAACAAAAGATGATTGCTTTGTGTGTGTGTGTGTGTGTGTGTGTGTGTGTGTCCGTGTCCGTGTGTCAGTGTGTCCGTCCGTGTGTCCATGCCTGTGCCAGTACTGGGGCTTGAATTCAGGGTCCTTAGTATGGTCCCTGAGCTTTTTCATTTAAGGCTTGTGCTTTACCATGTAAGTGGTAAATTGGAGGTTAATTGGAGGTAAGAGTCTCTCACTGACTTTCCTTCCAGACTGGCTTTGAATAGCAATCCTCAGATCTTGGCTGCCTGCTTAACTAATATTACAGTCGTCAGCCGCCAGTGCCTGTTGGAAAGGGTTAGTTTAAAAGCTGTTGCAGCCCAGTGCTGGTGGCTCACGCCTGTAATCCTAGCTACTCAGGAGGCTGAATCTGAAAATCATGGTTCAAAGTTATACCGGGCAGGAAAGTCCTTGAGACTCTTACTCAAATTAGCCACCAGAAAACTAGAAGTGATGCTGTGACTCAAGTGGTAGAGTGCTCATCTTGAGCTGAAGAGCTGAGAGACAGCTCCCAGACCCAGGGCAGCGCCCAGATCCAGAGTTCAAGCCCCACGACTGACCGGAAAAAAAAAAAAAAAGCTGTTGCAGAGTTGAGAGTATACTCAGTGTTAGAGCACTTGCCTAGCTTGAGGGAGACCCTGGGTTTGATCCCCAGAGATACAGGAAATAAATACATTTTATGAGATCACTTGGACAAAACATTTGCTCACATGAAACTCTTTTGCAGCCTTTAGGATATACTATATCTTTTTTTTTCTTAAAGTCATTTGTGGACAATAGTAAATATTGGCTCCAAGCCATAGGTGTTCATTTGTACAGGAAACAGGTTTAAGGAAGACACATTTCACAGCCCCTGAAAGCCACTGAAGTGTGATGAGCTCTCCTCCCCCTGTGCTCCTTATGTCTTGTTTGTCTGGGGACCAATTGAACTTCTCAGAAGGAGGCAAACATATGTGTCTCCTTCAGCCCCCACACAAAGGTTTTTGATATGCTGACATGTCACAGGTGGCAGGTGGTTGGTGGTGTTTTCATTTGAAGCTTAAGTCAGAATTTGCCTTCAGAGGTAGTCTTAGATACTATTGTTCTGATCAGTCAGCCTCCCAAAGTTTAAGTTGCAAAAGTAGCTTTCCCTTCTCTTCTAGCAAATAAAATAGAAACAACAACAAAAACGAAAACAAAACACATATGTAAGCCAGGTGCTCTTGGCTCACACCTGTAATCCAAGCCACTCAGGAGTCTGAGATCTGGGGATTGCAGTTTGAAGTCAGCCTATGCAGACAGATCAAGACTCTTATCTCCAATTAGCCAGCAAAAAGCCAGAAGTGTAGGTGTGGCTTAAGTGATAGAGCACCAGTGTTGAACAAAAACCTCTTAATGAGGCCTTGAGTTCAAGCCCCAGCATCCCCTCCCCTCCCTGCTCCCTGCCCCCTACCATAAGAAAAGGTGATGTGGTTTGGACAGCAAGGTCATATTTTATATTCTGTGTTTAAGAGAACCTTGTAACAGTTATCTCTGCATGTGAAGGATGGAAGGGGTACTGACTGAGACTTGTGTGATACAGAGATTAAGTGCTCCCTGTCTGCCAGGGCATGACTCCTGTCTTCAAGACTACAGATGCCTGGGGCTGCTGCTGACCCATTCATGTCTGTTGTCCAGACCATTCATTGGGCTGGTGTGTTAAAACTTTATTTTTTCCTCTGCTTATTGACAGCAAAAGCTGCAAGGTACTCAGCTTCTCTTGGTACAATGCAGTGCTTTCTTCTTAAAATAAAAATATCTCTTGGTGCCAAGATGAATACCATTTATTCAAATAGTGACCTTTTGCTCTTACTAAAAGAAATTGGTATTGGGACACAGGAGATTTGCTTGGTTTTTGAGGGACCTTGGGAGATCACAATCTGGTTGCCATAGCAACTCAGCAGCAGTGAAAATTACTCGTACCAGACATCTGAAGAGAGGTATTTTAGGGATGCTTAAAAGCCCTCTTCCCTTTATTTTTCTCCCTTGAGGAAGTGGGGCAGTGGTCAGGAGTAGAGGGGGCCAGTGCTTTCACTCTGGCCTTGGTGACAGTGATGGCTGAGGACTGGTCACAGGCCCTTTCTGTGTAGTATGGTAGGCAGACAGTGTGACAATCCAGAGCATACCCCACATTCACAAATCCTCTCTTTTTTCTCCTAGAACTTTCTGACAACCCTAGGGTTGAGGACACATTGTCTGACAATTTGTAGGAGAGAGTAAATAAGTTTGAGATTTGTCAAAGAGAATCTGGGACCCAGAGTTTTGATGTCTATCATTTTTTTTTCCCCTGACTAACTCCACAGACATTTATTATGAGCTTATCCCTAGAGCTTTAGACACAGAGCAGAGGGATTTTGCTCTTTTAGGGTGATGCTAGTATTTGTCTAAGGACTTTTTAAAAAAGTATGATTTTCCTTGTTGAAGTGTGGGTTTTTTTTTAAATTTCATTTATTTTTGATTGTCAAGGTGATGTGTAAAGGGGTTACAGTTACATACGTAAGGTAATGAGCACTTTCCTTGTCAAACTTGTTACCCCATCCCTCATTTTTCTCCTACTTTCCCTCCCCCTCACCCCCTGGAAGTTATACAGATCATTTCCAACATATTGCCTTGTGTATATTGCTGTTGTATTGTTTTCTCCCTTATCCTTTGTCCCACATTCTGTTGTTCCCCTTCCCTTCCCTAATTCAAATAAGGCATTTGGAAGACGGGGGAACAAAGAGTGGAAGAAGACATGAAAATGAAAAGATTTCTATGTTACTTCCTCACATGATCCTTGAACTGTTGTAACAAAGAATTTAGTGTTATGATAAATGTATACTTGTTATATCATTGATACATGTATACATGGAAAAAAAGAAGTAATCGATGCAGTGTGGTTTATGCCATTATAGTAAAGTGTACTCTATATGTAAAAACAAAGTTTTGTTGTTGTTGCTGTTGTTGTTTTTAAACTCAGGTAAGGGGCTGGGAGTGTGGCTTAGTGGTAGAGTGCATGAAACTGGATTTGATTCCTCAGTACCACATGAACAGAAAAAGCTGGAAGTCAGTGCTAGCTCAAGTGGTAGAGTGCTAATCTTGAGCAAAAGAAACTCAGGGACAGTGCCCAGGTCTTGAGTTCAAGCCTCAGGACTGGCAAAAACAAAAACAACCCTTCACCCCCCTGCAAAAACTCAACGCCCCCCCAAAAAACTCAGGTGACTTCCTGAGTTAAAAGAATGACTAAAAGTGAACTTACAGGAAAGCAATGGACATGTTTTCAGTTGTGTTGAAGATCTGACAAGATTTCTTCTTGAGGTCTTCTAATGGCATTTGGTATTTGTATTGGTATGAGTTTGAATGTTGAAGCCTGAAAGATTATTGACATTCCTATTGTCCAGAAAAAATAAATTACCTTCAAATAACTTATCAGCCAAAATAATGAGAATTGCCAGGGATAAGTCTTACACTGCTTTTCCTTGAGTAGTCCTGATGTTTTTTCTTCCCCGAATTCATCTATTTTCTAATGTTAAACATAAAATCTCAGCAGTGAATTCTTTTTTTTTTTTTCTCAGCAGTGAATTCTAAGGTGAATGAGTAGAAAAGGTGAAATACAAAAATAGTAATGATTTAGTTTTTAAAGATGTAATGAGGGGCTGGGAAGGTGGCTCAGTGGTAGAGCGCTTGCCTTGCATGCCTGAGGCCTCAGCACCACATAAGCAAAAAGAAAAAAGCTGGAAGTGGTGCTGTGGCTCAAGTGGTAGAGCGCTAGCCTTGAGCTGAAGAGCTGAGGGACAGCGCCCAGGCCCAGAGTTCAGGCCCCATGACCGGACCAAAAAAAAAAAAAAAGATGAAATTACTTTGATCTCAATAAGGAGTTTTGTAAGACAGATAAATAAAATTGATTTTTTTTGGGGGGGGGAGTGGTAGTGGATGTTGGTACTGGGGCTTTGAACTCAGGGCCTGGCCACTTTTTCACTCAAGGCTGACACTCTACCACTTGAGCTCTAGCTTCACTTCTACTTTTTTGCTGCTTCGTGGACATACAAGTTTCATGTACTTTCCTATTCGGGCTGGCTTCAAACTACAATCCTCACATCTTAGCCTCCTGAGTAGTCAGGATTATAGGCCCAGCTGAGCCCTTTTATTTCTGTGAATTACTTGCTATTGTTACATAGTAGAATCAAATAGCCCAGGTTATGGTAGGAAGCAGAAATCAGTTGTTAGGCCAAAGCCCCATTTCAAAGTTTACCTTTGAAAGTATAGTTCTTCACTTGTTTCTTTTTTCTTTTTTTTTGTTGTTGGTCATGGGGCTCAAACTCTGGGCCTGGCACTGTCCTTGCGCTCTTCAGCTCATTGCTTGTTTCTTTAAGTCTTGTGTCTATACTCATTAGTGAGAAAAAATAGTGTGCTTTCAAAAGAAAAAATTTACTTACGATTGAGTTTTTTAAAGCTATTTAACCTAAGCAATGTCGACAAATTCAGTTTTTCAATGCAAATGTGAGCAGCATTTAAGATGGATACTCTGTGCTTTCTGCTGGTATAGGATGTGTGCTCCATACTCCCTGGCCCCTCAGGGAAGGTGATGAAGCTTGAAGCCCCCAGTGCTCTAGTAATAAACTGAACTTGTGGTGTTGTTTTGGCAGGTTATTCTCGTTCAAGTCAATCCAGGAGAGACTTTCACAATTCGAGCTGAGGACGGGACTCTTCAGTGCATCCAGGGTAAGGAAAGTTTTGCTAACTATTTGAAGCAAAGTGTTTATCCCTTATTGTTTTGAAAAAGGAATATAAAGAAGTTTTTTTTTCTTTCTGGTGCATCTATCTGACTTTCTTCTAGAAATAAAATATATCTGTTCTTTTTTTCCCCTGTCAAATAGTCTAATATACAAATGATAAGCTTACTAGCAAAATCTAGATCTTATTTACTGCTAACAAATCACCTCAAATTATAGATGCCTATAACACCCCCATGCATGATGTCAGTTTCTGTGGATCTGGGATTTAGTTGTGGCTTTGCTATGTCCATGGGCCCTGGCCTCTCAAGTTTCTAAAGTGAGGGTGTGAGCCAGGGGTCCAGTTGTTGTAAAGCATAGGCGCAGGTAGATCTGCAACAGGTGTAGTTGAGTGGTTACTGGTACCACTTACTTTGGTAGGGGGTGGCTATTAGTAGAAAATTTCTCTTGTTTTCTGTTAAATGGATATCTTGTTTAGCAGATGGGGTAAAGGACTTTAATAATGGCAACTGGCTTCATCAGAATGATTAAGAACCCTGAGGGGTCAGTAGGTCCAGACCACACTGAGCCTGTTCCCAAATCTTCTCACCTAGATCAGCCGCAGGTGTAGGGGAGGCTGGGCATGGGTTGAAGATGCAACGCCAAAGACGTTCATGGAATACTCATGCTGTTTCTTTTTTTTTTTTTGCGTCCGGTTATGGGGCCTGAACTCTGGGCCTGGACACTGTCCCTCAGCTCTTCAGCTCAAGGCTAGTGCTCTACCCACTTGAGCCACAGCGCCACTTCCAGCTTCTTTCTTTTTGCTTATGTGGTGCTGAGGAATCAACCCAGGGCCTCAGGCATGCAAGGCAAGCGCTCTACCACTGAGCCACCTTCCCAGCCTTATGCTGTTCCTTTACATTTTTTTTTTTTCAGAGAGAAATGGGTGAAGTAACTTTGGCTCCTGTAGAATTCTGGGTGGAAAGTCACTGCAGATCTGTGATTGGTCTATAAACATTGTTAGAAGGCATGGCTTGTGACAGGGTAGCTCTTTCTGACAGTGATTGGGATTATGTCCCAAATATTGAATTGGCCTGTGCTAATTATTGATTGAAGCAGAATCTGAGCAGAGGATTATTTGTATTAGTGGGACTGGCTTACCAGTGTGGGGGGAAAAAAAAAAGAGAGGAAATGACCGTCAGTTTTACTTGCGTCTCATGTGGAACTTGCTTTGCCTAACAAGACAGCATGCTTTGTGGGCAGTACTTCTGTATTTATAAAAAATAAAAAAAAACCACCTAAACTTAAAAGAATAGATTTTTGAAGACCCAAGCCTGATGAGTTTGAATTGTATTTAAGCTGAATGATTAAATCATTGATTAATGATTTCTGCCGACTCCATTTCTCTAACCATAGTGTCCCTGAAATTGATCGTTGGTATTTGAAACCACTTAAAAATGAAACCCATTCTTTGCTAATGAAAAATAACCTCAAGAAGAGAGGAAATACTTTAAAGTCGTATAAGAGATGGAATCTTCTGCCTATTTATAGTACTATAATAAATGAATATTGTTGACATCTACTTTGTATCTCTTTTAAAAACAATTCTGTAGGAAAACCAGATGGAAAGCTACCTATGTGGAACAAAGCAAATTTCTCACCCAGTAAGAAAGCAGTTTATCTTCTGCTTATGGTAGTGTTAGAGTCCCGTGAATTTATAGGTAGACTATGTGTCCCTGTACAAGTCAACATGAGGCTTAGAAGCCATAAAAGCAAATTGCTCCATGGATCAGCAGAAATGAAATCCAGCCTTCAAAATCAGCTGAGTTCACTTCCTTTTGTGTGTGTGTGTGTGTGTGTGTGTGTGTGTTGGCACTGGGACTTGAACTCAGGGCTTTGTGTTCTTGCTTGGCATTTTAATTAAGGAAGTCTGGCTCTCTACCACTTGAGTCAAAGTCCCACTTCCTGGTTTGTTTTATTTTTTCTGGTTTATTGAAGCTAAGAGTCTCTAGGATTTGTCTTCTTAAGCTGACTTTGAACTGCAGTCTTCTGAGTAAGTAGGATTACAGGTATTCGCTACCAGTGCCCGCCTTGAGTTCAGTTTTGGATAAGCGTGGGTATATAAATGTATGTGTGTGTATACATGCGTGTGTGTATTCATGGAGTTAACCTCTCCCTCATTTTTATCTTCTGAGTGCATGTCAGGAGCGGGTGCACTCGGCAGGAAATGTTGCAAGTATATTGCTGCGTTCACAAAGGGAGCTCTGTATTTATTCATGATGATACTGGGAGATAAGTGACACTTACACCCTTCCAGTGACTTTAGAAATGGCTTTGACTGCAGTCGAATTGTGAAGCCTGTTATCTTGGTCTCTCCCAGCCTTCCTAGTCTTTGTTCTCTTCTGAGGATCCAGATTCTTAGTTAATATCTTCATTTCGGGCCTGGTGGCACCTGGCCCTGTTTCTTGACATGGCACAGTGCAGAGTGAGAAGGAACAGGAACCAGAAGCCATGGGCTGTGCTGCTAGAGTCAGGGAAGGACTGTGGCTGTGGGAGCCTCACCTCTGGACTCATGGGCTGCCACTAACATGTAACAGGTCAGGCACAGAGTTTTAAAAAGCCAGTGGTTGCAGTGGGAGGATGCCCATTTTCTTCAGGTATGTGACCAGAGCGTGGTGGGTTTCAGGTTGAAGAGAAACAGGATTCTGGGTAGCATGTGAGAGGGTCAGGGAGAGACAGAGCTGGTTCTCAGAGCAGTGTGTAGTGTCGATGGACACCTTGTTAATACAGTAAGATGGACTTTCTGGTTTGGGGTTGGACTGGGAATGCAGGAGGTATTGCTTTCTAACCTAAATCCTTTCTGCACAAAGTCAGGATTGGGCTTAGATTCCAAGAGGGTGCAGTTCCCACGTGGGGCTTCAGCTCCAGCTGCAGGGCAGGCAGAATCCCAAGGAAAGGACTAGAAATTGAGTCATTGTAGGGGATCTGGTGAAATTTTCGTAGGGGCTGAATTTAGCAGAATGCAGCTGACGGGAGTGTGCTTTTTGTTTGTTTTTGTTTTTGATGGTTGCTTTTGAGTTGGGGCAAGGTGAGCAAGGTAAGTGGTTGCTGGTGGCCTTCCTGGAAATTTGGAAGGCAGACTCATTGCTTGCGCCATGGTTGTAACTGTCAACCTCCTAACTTTGCTTTGGCAACACTGGCCAGTAGGCTAGACACTGCTTTTGGAACAGCGGGTGGTTGAAAGTAGGGCTGGTTCCTGGCCCTTCCTGGAAACTTTGAAACCATACCAGATAAGGCCCACCCCCTTGTTTGTAGTTCCATCTTTCAGTCTAATGGCTTTCTAAGACATTGTCACAGCACTAGAAAGACCCTAGGAGCTCATCTTGATGTCTTTGAAGGCTCCTCAGCAGTTAAGACCAGTTTAGCATTGAAGAATATGGATGCTTGGTTGAGAAAGGGTTTTGTTTCCAGGAGAATATCCTTGGCCATAATGAAGGAAGAAAAACACAGGAAACATACAATATGCTAGGACAGCAGATTCATTTCTAATGGAATATTTCTCAATATTTTCCATGAAACATGAGTCATGAAGGGGCCACAAAAGGGCAGGGTTTACTTTTATTTGGAGGTTACATCTACCTATGACATCCTAGACAAAAGTGTTTTCATTTCTTGGCCAGGTGGAATTGGAGAGCGAGCTAATTATTAGGAAAAAGAGCCATCAATCAGAGTCTCCCTGCTTTTGCTTGAAGTCAGGAATTCGTAGAGGGCAGCTGTGGCTCTCATTATTTTCATGTCCCTGTCTGGGCCGAGCACTGGCAGAGCAGCAGAGCAGCCTTCCTTCCTGTCCACACATGCCATCTTTCTTTTGGGCCACTTCTCTGTTCCCTGTGAAATCCTTTGGCCAAAACAAACACCCCACTTCCTGGAAGGATCTAGGTCTGTCTCTTCCCAGAGCCCTCCAGATCACTGCAGTCCATCCTGACCTCCTTCCTCTGGGTTGGGAGGAGAAGGGAGAGGTAATACTCCATAGTCTGGTTGTGTGTAAATCTTTCCTTCACCCCAGATTACTCTGCAGTTGGCTGTGGCTGGAAACAGCCAGCCCTCCAGCCTGATATCCAGCTCTAGACAGCCTGATGGCCATTTCTGTCTACTCCTGACCAGCTTGCCTCTCTGCCAGCTGTGGTAGTCCTTCTTTAACTCTTACCATTCTAGTGGTTAACATTTTAGTGGTTAGTTATACGTCTATCCAATTTAAAAACTTCAAATCACACTGGGTGCTAGTGGCTCATGCCTGTAATCCTAGCTATTCAGGAGGTAAGATCTAAGGATCCCAGGTCAAAGCCAGCCCCAGGCAGATGAATCTGAGATACTGTAACCTCCAATTAACTACCAGAAAGCCAGAAGTGGATCACATGGCTGAAGTTGTTAGAGTACCAGCCCTGAAGGAGAAAAGCAAAGTGAGAATGGAGATCAAGCTCCAGTACTGGTATAAAAAGCAAACAATTCAAATCATATGGTTGAAGCACACTTGTTTACTTTACAGAAACATGTTGAAGTTCTAAAGAACTTTCATAATGATCCTACATGAATAATGAACTTTTACATTTTCCAATTGTTAAATGCCATATGAGCCTGTAGAAAACAGGTAGAGTAAGCAAAAACAAATTGCTTAGAAAGAAGCGCCATCATTTTAATCAATAACAACAGTGAAAGACTAGTTGGAAATGGGTTTTGTCCAGAATTACTTAGAATATCTTTTGCAATAATATTTACTCCACTAACTTAAGTTAGTGGAGACCTGGAAATGACTAGAGAACAGCCATTGTGTGCTTAAAAGGACACGTAAGAGAATCTATTTGGAGTCAGCCATAGCTTTGGAGCTGTTTGAATGGACAGCTCTCTTCTCTTTCCTCTTCACCTCTGTGTGTGCCTTGTGCTGTGAGAGTGGGTGAGGGAAGGGAGTCAGTGAATGACGCCACCCAGTGCTGTCTCATGCTCCCTCACTTC